CATTTTTATTTCCCTAAAAATGATCACAGACAGATAAAAAGAATAATGATTGTAAATCCAATTCATTCATTACAGAATCTAAAATCATCACATTATGAGTATGGGTAACAGACATCTATAAATACTATTATTTTAAATAGGTACCTATACATAATATATGTAGAAATGTACAATATTATGTCGTGACTATTGTGTATAAATAATGAACAATATATTCCTACATTGAACGATTGAACACAGACACACAGCTTAAATATTAAAATATATAGTTATTCTTATTTGTTGTGTTGTATAGTGGAAATTTACGAATAACGCATGTAGAGATAATATCTTAACGACACTTTATGGGCGTATGGCTCTCGCGTTTACAGCCGATGAGCCAAATATGGAACAATCGTTCATGTTTCATAATAGATGTGTAAATATTTGCAGTTAACACGTGTGCACATGTCGTCGTCCTAGTGACGTATAGATGCACCATGTAGTATAGCTATTGGTCGGGTGTCAAGTGTGAAATTAATTATTACTTCTTTAGTACTTACCATAAAAAAAAAAAAAAAAATAAAAAAAAAAGTTCCTGGTAACTACATGTAGTAGACATAAAATTATATAGGTATTATATGCACCTTTTAAGTTTAAATTTAAATTTTATATCTATAATAAATTAAAAAAAAAAAAAAAGTTTATATTATTTTAGCCTTATAGGTCCAACGCGTAACGAAAAAATAATTTCCAGGGCAAGAATATTTTATTATAATTTATTATTTAAGATATCGCCAATACGTTAATAATAGTAGACAGTAATAGAAGTATATAACATGCACTATGTATGTACGAAAAAAAATTTTAAAAACAATTGAATATCAAATTTGTAGTGAGTCATCCGGTTATCGCTAATAAAAAAGTTTAGAATCACTAGTCTTGTAGATTTGCATACAATTTATACAAATAAATAAATTATAGTGTAACGATATAGGTACTAGACGATAATAGCGCGATCAGTATATGATCAGTGATCAGAATCAATTATTTACTATTTCCATACAGTTAGTTATCGGCTATACTCCTATATATACAGTATACAAAATAATGTTTTATATGAATAATCCACGAAAAACAAGCCAGAAAAAAAATGTACAGAATAAAACCTATGAGAAACGAACCAACTTAATTGTGTTAAAAATTAATAATATTAATTGTTTATGATTAAATAAAATTCATTATATCATACATATTTAATTCTATAGTAATTAAATCATGTATAATCTTATGATATCAAATATGTAATATGTATTTTTAGAGTCAATCCAAAAGTTAGATTTTAATAAATGAAAAATTTGTGTCCGAACTGTATATGATATAGGTGTTTAGTGAATAACTTTAAAAGTGTTACTTATCATGTAAAATTGTAAAGTATAAATACCAAGTAGATAACTTAAAATATACCTTATTAACGCAAAACATTGAAACATTAAGTTTTTGAATTTTTCATCAATAGTATTAAAGTAACGAGTATAGGTACTTAAATATTTTACGTTAAAAAAGTCACATTGATTACATTATACATACATACAAACTAAGTGAAAAATAAATTGTATTATCTACTTACAAAATATTATATTATTTTTATTGCATTTATGAAATTGTTTTGCATTTATTTATAATATTTATAATAACATTAATAACCAAATAAATAAATAAAAACAAAAAATAAAATTTGTATTTTTTACTGTAGATATCTTTTTAATTATCGCAGTATATTATGTACGAAGTACGAATTAAATATTAGATATATTTATTAAGAATTAATTCTCACCAAACAAAATGCATCAATATTAGAACTAATGATTCCAAAGAATCGTTTCTAATTTTAATTTACATATCATTAAACGATTTTTACAACTAAATGAGTGATTTAATAACAAGCCTAAAAACGGTATTCCTAAATTTTGTGTCAACAATAATAATATAAAGATATTACACAATATGTTGATTTTTCTATTTTTAATTCAATTTTTACTATGGCAGACGAAATGGACAAAAATTTCAAAAAAGGATAGGCCATAAAATTTTTTTAATGTGTTGTATCAGTGCAATCTAATATTTTTTCCGTTAACTTTTTATTTGTTATATGTGTTAGGAACTTTGCTAGTATATCATCAATATCAACATCTGAAAGAACGTTTTCGACTTTAAAACGCCTGAAAACTTTTTTTAAGAAACAGAACCGGGCAAGAATGATTAGGTATATAGTAAGACTAGTTCTTACATGGGCGTAGGTAAGGGGGTTTGGGTTTCAAACACACCCTGAAATTAAAGATAAAACTGAATAAACAATTCATGTTTAATTTTAATGTTTTATAATATAAATATAGATCTAGACCAAAACCCCCTCCGAAAATATTTCCTACCCACGCCCATGAGTCTTTATGAGTGTGCATATAGAGATATTTAAATTGATACTGAAGAAGTTATCAAAAGATTTTCAAATACTTCAAAAAAAAAAAAAAATGAAAGTAGTAGGTATAGTAATATTATAGTATGTTATATATAATTTAATTATTTATATTATATATAGGTATTTGATTTGTTTACTAAAGTACTTATAATAAATTTTAATTAAAGTAGAACTATAGGATAAACGTAGTTAATTAAATTAAAAAAAAATGTCATACTCATAATTTAAATAATCTTGTAATTTCATATTTTATTGAGCTTGTTAAAGTTTTAAATTTACTAGCCAAAAACATATTTATATTCTAACCATTGATTAAATAATAAATATACAATATGACGTATAATAATTGTAATTATTATAGGTATGTTTAATCAATGCTCTATAACCAGTGGCGTAACTGTGAAAAAATCTAGGGGAGGGGGCAAAATAATTTATTTACCATGATCAAAACCCCGTGTATATTTGTATTGTTTCATTTTCTCGGAGGGGGGAGGGCAATAATACCTTTGCCCATCACAAATCTGTCAGGGGGCTCACTGGCTCTATAACATTCCAGAAAAAAAATCTTTTGCTGGCTTCGGCTTTGTATCAATGTATAATAAAATTGTCCGCATAAGTGTTTACGGGCAATGGCGGCGTATTTTATTTGTGCGGTAATATTATTTCATAATCAGGTAATGGTTTTGGACTTTTGGTCGCATAGGTAGTAATTAGGTACCTGATACCGAGCCGATATAGAATAGTAATAGATAATATTTATTACATGAATAGTATCATGGTGATAACTGGCAACTCTAGGTCCTGTTTCGGCGGCTCTCGGTAGCTCGGGGGGGTCTCACGTGGAAGTGAAAAACTGGAACTGTGGAAGGACCTCGATTTACCCGCAAACGCGAACCGTTCGAATCCCGTGTCTCTGCGGTTTGAACGTCCCGCCTTCCGCCGCCGCCGACGACAAACGCGAAACAACAGTGCGAAGTCACGGTGACGTCACGTGTTCGCGAGCGCCGGCCACCGTCGTACCCGAGTCTCTTTCACCGATGCCTCCCCCCCCACGTGCGAGCGATCCTACCGTGTCGCCGCCGACAAGCTGCTGCTATCGCGCACCGGCGCACCACACATTATCCGATCGGGAATCGCGCATATGTCTCTAATCGCGCGTCGCGTTTATGTACTCTTTGCTTTTATTATTTTATATTTATTTATTATTATTATTATTATTTATATTGGTTTTTCACACACACACACACACACACACACACACACACACACACACTACACGCAATTACGCGCGCGCGCACACGCCAGTACGCCACACTCTTCTTCGCTCCCGAACGTGTTTTCTTCTTTTTTTTCCCCTTCGTTCTTGATTCTTTCACTGATTATCATTAAATCTGTTTGTGTTCGTCGTTTCGCTTTTTTTTCTTTTTTTTTTTCCGTCCGATTATAATATTTATTTATAAATTTTTTTTACACACACATACACGCAAATCATTTCGTCGTGTACGCCCGCCGCCGTATTTGCCATAATATAGGACATTTGAGGACATTAAGCATACCTAATAATTTTGATTTATTATTTTCGACTGTCGTTTCGCGCGTAGCATTGTGCACTTGTGCACGCAGAAGCATAACGCTTAACTCCTTCGCACGCACCGCGGCCGACAGACGTACAGTCACATTAGTTGCACTATAACACTTGCATTATTTTGGGTCTGATAGACAACGCACGCTCTAAGGACCAGTCTACCAGCTTCTTCTGCTATCACTAACATCGTTATCGGTTCTCACCATCGCTGCAGGATTTTAATTGGTGGACTGCTGCAAGCTGTGACGAGATGATCGACACCAACGGTAAGACATTAAGACGGATCATTCAATCATTGCGATATGCACGTATCAACGGGAGAGTCCTCTATAGATCAAATCGCATTTTTTTATTCATAATTTATTTTGACTTATCGTCCGTGTGTTGTAGCAGACCGTTTTTTTGTGTGAACACTTCCGGAGTCTGGTCGTACCACAGCTAACCAGAGAGACTTAAAGTGACAGAGCAGAGAGCGTTTGAAAGTGCTTTCCACGTTAAACATAATATTATCGAAGTGAGTACTTTTTTTATAGTTTCAGTATTCGTTTTTAACGCTCAATACAATCGGTATTGTTTAAAAATATAATTTATTAAAGGTTTGATGGGTTCGTGTAGGTAAAGCCATAATCAAAAACCGATGAGAGAAGTAGTAATAATAATATAAATTTGTATGTCTTCTGTTATTTTTGGATTTGTGAATTTGTGATTAGATTTAGTACTGGCGGGACGTTATCGATGTTGTATTGTATTCTAAAGTATAATAAGCAGTCGTTGGTATTATGGCGCGACGATCATTTATCGTGTTTTTCCAAATCTCATCACCGGGCAGTTCCTTATCATACATCGGGGAATACCCATTCGGTCGCAATGTATACGCGCTAAATTAATAACAATGTACATCTATCTCTTTCTTTTTCAATTTCTCTGTTTATCTTTGAGGTATCGTTAATAGATGTATTGTTTTATAATTATTGTTTTATTGTTATATTGTTATACGTACTAGTTTTCCAGGACAACGGTTTCGTTTTATCTTAATCGTTGTTCGTCGAATTGCTCGTTTCTCATCGGTAGTTCGGTTGTCTATTATTTTATTCGTGTACACAGGCAATGACATTTCATAGACTACGTTCTTATAGCAAAACCGTATCCTAGTGAGTAGTGACTAGTTGCCTAGTTTGTACCACTACTCAGACATCCAGTAGCCAATATCCACCGTCGACGTAACCTAAGAAGAAAAAATACTGTTTAATTTTCGATATTTTTATAGGTAGGTACGTAATGTTTTTTGTTGATGCCATCGTAACTATTTCTCAATGATTTATCGACTTCAATATTTACATTTGCGTTTTCTTCTCTTTTTACTCGCCTAAAAAGTTATTTAAACAAATTTATAATTTTTTTGTATTCTAGACATTTTTATATAGGATTTTAGTAATTTTTTCCGTTTCATGATTAACTTACATACAAGATAACAATTCACAAAATATATAAAATGATATACTTATCGTTTAAATCGTTTTAAGTGGATTTATTTTAAACCGTTTCTCAATGTTCCTATTCCTGGCATTTTTTAACTTCTAAATAATAATTTTTTTAATTAATTGGGTGTATATAAGTCTTTCTTAATTTAGGTTAAAATATATTTAAGTGAATCTACCTGTATACTAGTTATTTTGATAAATATTATAATAGTTGTGTTAAAATGAAAGATACTTATTAAGTTTAGATCTAAGGTATTAATTTTATTTGCTAATTTTGTCATTTTCCTTCAAATAGGTTTCCTTTGTATTTTCTCATCCTTCTTTCTTGCATTACTGCCAAACTAATATGTCACAAATGAAACGAGGCCGCAAGGTATTTACTAAAATAGCAACATTTATATAGTTTAAACATTATTGAAATTTAAACTATGTTTTCATAAACTAATTCATAATGTTATGTAGGTAACATATACTAGCATTGAAGAGAGATATCAACACTTGGAACTGTCTACTCTGCAACAGCAAACATTTAGATATAATAATCACAACGTGGCGGATAAACGTGTTGGATCAACTATGGTGCCCAACCGAATATTTGTCGGTGGCTTATCCAATGGCACTTCAGAACAAGATTTGCGAAATTTCTTTTCAATTTATGGCGAGGTTAAAGTTGTAAAAATTGTCAAAGATAAAGCTGGGGCTCTTAAAGGATTTGGTTTTATTACTTTCGGTTCTGAAGAAGAAGTTAAAAAAATAATTGATGCTGTAAGTTAATGTTACTCATGGAATGAATTTATCTAATATATTTGAAACTACATACCATCTGTATTTCATTTACTTATATGTTTGGTAAATTCCAAGTTGTATCCTATGTTAATGCTATATGTACCAATTTTTATATTAGTGTTAACAGTGTGTTTTTTATTTTAGGGCCCTGTTTTGATATTTAAAGACAAACGTATCAACATAGCTCCTGCTTATGAGAAAGTATGTGTTAAATTATTTTTTTGCCTTCATATTTTTCGTAGATAAGAAATTACATGATTAATTTTTAACAAGTGTGTGTACTTAAAAAAAAACAAAACAAAATAAACCCAGTATCTAACTTGTTATTAAAGAATAACTGATATAGGTACTAGCTATGCTCTATCTATTTTTTATGTTCATATTCTAAATTTGTTAAGTTGAATTTATGATTCTAAGTTTTTATTTGTTTTTAATGATAACATTTTTATTGGTATAATTTGATAGTTTTTTATATTCATATTAGTATGTGTTAATAATTATTTTTATCATTAATTTTCAAATAATTTTATGAATTAACGTGTTCCATATAATTAAAAAAAAAAAATCAATTAAATAAAAGCACATTTTTTGAAAATTGTATGTTAGTTTAATTTAAGATTTTACAGTTGATAATATTTATTATACTAAAAGAGTTTTTTTTTTACTTAGTCAATTGTATAAAATTTTTTTAGATATTTTTGGTAGATACTTAATAAAATTGTTTCATGTCTATAAATTTTCACTACAAATAGAGTAGAAAAAAAAACTTACATATTTATAAATGCATACATTTGAGGATGTTTTAATGCTGCTAAATTGTTACCAACTATTTTAATTATAGAGTTAAAATATAATATTTATTAGTGATTATACCTTATCTAAACAAATGATTTGGTTTTTATGGGTTTTCATAATTTATGTGTACCACAAACGATATGTGTGTTAACTAAACATTTAAATAAAGATGTGTATGCTAATAATTTTTATATAAGTATACTGTTTAAATTTGGTTTTAATTACTTGTTTTTTTTAATACTATTAGGATAACAAAAGTAATTACGATTCAAACAACTCTCCGCAGCAGCAATCGCACTTAATGTCATATAGTAGTCAAGTTCAACAATATTCAGTTCCTCCATTACCAACTCCAGCTCAACCAATGTTAGCACCAGTTATGTATACCTATCAAAATGGAATGGCTTTTTTTAATATGCCAATCAATGGAAATACTTCAGTAACTCCTCAACCTCCTGGTCCACAAAACTCATCTTCAACAGAATCCCTCCCCAATGTATATGCAGGTAATTACTTAAAAATAACTTAATCTATGATTATAATCAACAATCAGTTAATTTGTAATTGTGTATTTAGCTCCTTATGGAACACAAAGTGCTACTAGTATGCAAGGTTATAGTGGCCAACCTATATTCTATCCAAATCCAGTGCCTCAAGTGCTAGTACAACAAGCTTACCCTAATTTACCAGTAAGCTCAGTGAGTTTTATTAAATACAAAAATTAATATTTTGTAATTTTTAATACGTTTTTTGGTAATTTATAGAGAATATCTGCTAACTATTTGTTTCTTTTTTATCTACATGCCATATATTAATTTTGAGTTCAGTGGAAATAATTTTGTGTTAGCTTTAATATTTGAGTGAATTATCCAACTAGATGAGAACATTATTTGTATTTTTATGTTGGTTTTTTACAATATTTCAATTTTTAAGAGACGTGCGAGTATACAATTTTGTAATTTAAATATATTTATGTATATATATTACTAAGAAATTAAAATACTGTAAAATAAAATGAATGTTCAGAAGGTAATGCTCTATCTTTAAAGATAATTAATCATTTATTGTTAATTGTTCTAGATTGTTAACTAACTTTATTTGTTTTTTAATAATATTTTAAAATTAAAATTAACAATATAAGATTGATTTTACTGAATTCAAATTTAGTGTGGGGTAAGAGAGTAAAAACAAAAAATATATTGATTTCATATTTTTCTAGATTGTAATACTTTTTCTATGTTAACTAACAATTTAATTTGATTAAATTATAGCTTAATTTTCTCAATCCAGCAATACTGAATATATTTTAAACATTAACTCAATTGTTAATGTTTTGAGTAAGATTTATTAAAAATTTAATATTTTTTAAAACTGTGATGTACTGCCTAAAATAATAGACATATTCAATGTCCATTCTAATAATATTCTCCTCATATTTAAACATATCTCATTCAACATTAGGTCATTTAAACTTAATTAACTGTTGCAAGAAAAATTTGCATTGTGAGATTAATGAAATTTTGTTAGAATATAAAATAAAATGTTTTTAGTAAAAATTATTACTACCATTTTTGCTTAAAAACTATTACTATGATTATTAGGAAAAATATTTGATGCTTTAATTTTATGTTTGGATAAAACAAAAAAGGTATTGTGATTCAAAAAAATAAAATTAAAAATATGGCTTGTTTTAAGAAAAAATAAATATCAACATATTTTTATCTAAATCACGAAAGAAAGATATTTGTATAAAATAAGTGAAGATCAATTAATTAATATCATTAATCTATTATCATTAATCTATTATCATTTTAGGTTTGTAATAGTACTCAAGGATCAAAGGTTCTTTTTTCGGTCCCTTGTGACGCACCTTATTATTCAGGAACTCAAATGTCAGGTATGATACCTAGTCCTGATATGGCCTATCCAATGCCAATCATGTCGCCATATATGCCTTATATGGTCGCAACTTCTGATGGCAGTTACCCGTATTACGATCCAGTTATGGAAAATATTCAAGTTGTTCATCAGCCAGTATTTACTGAACAAAGCACAAATCCTAGACCACCATCATCGGATACTTCAGTAATTATATTATTTAATATTAAAAGTTTTACTTTTGAGCTGAGCGAGTTAAAGTAATTAATTTTTACTGTATATTTTGATTTTGATATAATTTTATGTTATTTAACTTGGTTAAAATAAAATAATACAATCTACTTTTTAATTACTTAAAATCAAATAGTTTTCTCGAATATTTCTAAATTTAGCTGAGATGAATGAATTATTTACCTTAAACATTTATGTTATAAAAAATATACACTTAAATGTTTTTATTCGCTTAATAAGTTTGTATAATAATTCATAAAATAATTTAAACAAACTTTCATCTTAGTTAAAAATTAAGATAAAAAATTAAATTATTTTACTTAAATAAAGTTAATACAATTCTATTTTTCTCAAAATCATTTTATACTTAATTTTTGTAAAGAAAAATATTGTAATTACCTAAATCTCACTGTATTCTATGTTAGTAGAGTAATAATTAATAATTCAATTAGATTTTTTATTTTCTCGCTCAGTTGTATATAAAGTGTGCATTATGTTAAAATAATGAATTTGTGGGTTTAGGTAGGACAAGCACAAGTAATTACCACAAATCAGTTTGTATCATTGATGTCAGTAGTTAGAAATGATGAGGAAAAACCTCAGACATATACCTCTGAACCTCAGCAGTTATGCCTAACTCCAGTCATAAGTTTAGCAGAACCTCCACCACAAACAGTCTCACAACCAATCGTTTCTAAACCACCCACCACATCGTCTACACCGGATCCTGAGAAATCTGACCAATCACCCAATCAATTACTTATGACTCAAATCCAGTATAATATTAGACACCCTCCACCTTCTATAAATTTACGTCCAGAGCAAAAGGACTGTGCAAAGCAACGTGGTGATGCTCATCAGTATCAGAGCAACAACAATAATTTATCTATTAAAAATAATAATGATTACATGAAAAATGGACCTAAAAAGTATCTGGAGGCTCGTACATTTTATAAAACTGGGCCAACTACTATATCTCATCCCAGGAATACTACTAATACTACTGGTCCTATGGTCAATTCATCTTTTACTAGCCCATTTTTTGTTCCTAATACAAACTTCCGTCACCGTTTTCCTAAAATGCACTATCCTGCTGTTCCTCAGGTGATGTTAAATCCAAATTATCCTTATCACAATCAGGGAAACGTTCGTCCTTCTAATGGCCATCAGATGTTCAACAATAGAGGCGCTAGATATGGTGGCAACAACTACCAAAACAACAAGAAAAACTATAGTGTAAGAATGACAATAGTAGTAATTGCATAATTTTATTTTTAATCTTATTATATATTTTATAATATTTAGTCTTACAAGGGAAACAAAATCAATCGATATACATCTGACCAAGGCGATAATCCCGAAGTTTCAAGCAGTGAAGATAGTCGTACAGACCAGCTAACCAGTGTTGATATGGGCCCCCCTCAGGTAGAAGGCATGTGTTCGGACATGAGGTCAATGGCCATTTAAAAATAAAAACAAAAAACTGCCGCTTTCTTATATGATCAAAGATTAATAGCTCCAACAAGACTGGCCAGCTCCTAAAATTTTTGATTTTTATAGTATTATTTAACTTAATTCCCCCTCCTCAAAATTCAGAAAATGGCAACTATCTTGGTATATAAAAAAATATATTTATATTTATACTTGTAAAATATTTTGCCCTCTGTGTTCAAAATTGTTATTTATTGATAATTCATAAACACTTATTAATAGGTAGTTATGCAAATTATGGCGACCCTTTATGACAAAAAGAAGGCTGTTTAACTGTGATAAATAATTATTTAAAAAAAAATAAATATCCATTGTTCAGGCACCTTAAGTACTTAATCCAAAAGTCTAAATGATTTTTGCTCAATAGTGCTCGAAAGAATTTAGGTCTTATATATTATATGTATATATATATATATTATATATATATATATATATTTTATCATTGTTAACATATACTATTAATGTCGAGAATATTATAGATAAATAATAATAAATTTAATATGGACTAAAAGTACATTAACATATTAAATGTAAAATTATATCCTATAATAGAAAATAATACATTTAACTAAATTAATGTATAATATATAGTCTTAACATAATATTAAAATATTCACTATTTAAAAAAATAAAGGACAACTAAAATACTAATTATGATAAGTAACATGTATCTTCATCAATTGCTTACTGTAAACATGAAAAGCAATAAAAAAAAAGTATTTAGTAATAGTAACTCTATATAAGTGATTTTTATTTCGTTAGTGTTGAATTTTATCAATTGTGCATTATTTATTTAATGTGTTATTTATATATTATACATTTTAAATTATTCAATATTTTATTGTGCAGCAAATAATTTATTATCTACTGAATATTATTTAAATTAAAATTTAATTTTGAAATATTTAGACTTAAATGATAATATTTAACACTTAACCAAAAATATAATACATTTAAATATAAATAAGATTTCTATTTTGTGTTACTAAAATGTGTTTTGGATCTATTAGTATAAAAACGAAATATTTTTTACTTTAGAGTTACTAATTACTTATATCAAAAATTTTAGAAGCCAGAAATTGCATTGTTTAGTCTAATAATCTACCGTTATTGATGTACTTGAAATCAGTTTAATCAAATATGAAAATACCTATTTATTACAGTTTAAATATTTTTTTTATTATCAAGATTAGTGTTTTTTCTAAATTAATTTGATTTAATTTCTAAAATATTTGTCTATAGTAAACTTATCATATGAATTACCCAAATAAAATCATATAACTATATTTAATTTTAATTTTAAAGATCAATATGATTAAGTACTACTGTAAATAAAGTAACTATATAACATATTCTAAGATGACAATGATGAAATGCAACACAAACGACTGAAAGTTATTTTGTTTTAACATTATGTGAATAACAGTAGTTTTATTGTGTGTCTATGAGTTTCTCGTTACTGCCAAGTATATATTTATTAACAATAATTTATATTTATTAGAGACAAGAGAGGAAGGGGAAATATTAAAGCGGTATTTTTTGTGGACAATTAGTGATCTCTGAATTACTGGTATTCATTTTTGTATCCTATTGTAAATATAAAAAGTATGTTAGTGACAAGTTGATTAGTTTTTAAGATTGTTCAGTAGTCATTAAGTTTGTTAAGTTGCAATTATATTTATAGTTTATACTTACTATATTTATAGTTATTTAATAAATAATCTAAAATAAATTGTTTATAGCAAAGTGAAAATATGTTTTATATTTTTAATCCTTTCAACAGTTTAACTTTTATGAATGATGATACACCCGTTGTCATTTTTAATTAAAGGTTCAATTAGCCTAGTTTCCTAAGGTGTTGATTAATGCATCAAATTAAAATGTCTCATATACTTAAAAAAATTATTAAATAACAATCTCCTACTTCAAACATACATTTATTCTTCTTATTACATATTATTATAAGTCGTCAGGTTATAAGCAAAAATAAAATGATTGAATTAATAGACTATAACAAATTAAATAATTAGTGTTAAAGTACAATCAGTATCCAGTAAACTATTAGATGTGTGTTCAATTTAAAAACAGAATACAATTTGCTTTTGGCATCAAATTTTATCTAGGCTCCAAATTCTCAAGTTTTACTTATTTTTATTGAGCATGTACAGTTTAGTAAGAATAAATGAAATTATGATGAATATAATATTATGTTCAGTATGAATTTTATAAATGAAAAGATTTGTTTTCAATATTTAATAATATTTAGTAAATATTTTATTAATTAAGAGAAAAAAATACTCTTATATTTTAATTTTTCAATAATTTTGACACTTATTGTTTTTAAACACTTATGTTTTTTAAACATTTTTTAAACACTTATGTTGTTTTTATTATTTATCAAATTAACCAATTTTGTTGTGGTGCAATACATTATTATTTGCTTATATTTTATATATATAAGTTATAATTATCTGTCACTTTTAAGAAAAAGTCAATAATAATAAGTACATTTTTTATGCTATTTTCAACTTCTGGGCAAGAGGACTATTATGACAATATTAACATTTCCTGGGCTATATAGAAATTGCCCTGTTAAACCTAGGTAATGTAAACCAAAATAATTTTTTTTTATCATAAGCCTTATCCTTATCTTAATAATTGAATATTATCATCTTACTATTTATTTATTAATACTTATTCTAGTATTTGAAATGTCAACAGAAAAATGTATGCCTAACAAAACATAAACATTTGTACTAAATGACTAATAATATATTGTATAGTATCTAAGTCTACTCTGCTATTAAACATTTAATTTTCATACAATAAATTTGTTTTAAATACCTATCTGAGTTATCCGTCGTTGTCGAGTTATAGTAAAAATAGCCGAGCGATTATAAAAAAAAAAAAAACACAAAAAGTTGATAGTTTTAAACTTATAATGCGATAGTATTATGATGTTTATTATTTAAAATAAACATGAAATATAGTGTTCTAATATTCTACAGTTTTAATGACACTTGTAGTATTTACACGTACGAGTAGTTGCACGTATCGTCAAATATTTATCAAATTTGGGAATTAATGGAAATTGTAGGACTCAGCGTGTCCCAACGACGAATTAGCAGCGGAAGTAGTTACTATATTGCGTGTGTTCTAAAGGCAGGCAGTGCGCGTCTCGACGTGCATAACTATACGTAAAACTAAATATGACTCTTTTACTAATAATCTATTTAAAAATTTCTCTTTAAATGGCTCATATACTCGTCAAACATTTGCGTTTAAAACAAAAATGACTGAAATCGGTTCGGTAGAATTTGCGATATAGCAGCCCATAAAAAATCATCTCGCGTTTTAATAATACATTGTTTAGAGACATAAAGATAGTACCTGATTTTTTGTTTATAGTCTAAATTACAATGCCCAATAAACAATTGGCAAAGTATACTTGGACCGGACAATGTACATACATCACATATTATCGGTTTCCTGTGCACAAATTATGGCGTGTGTGTGTATAGATAATTGTGTTTTTTTTTGCGTTTTTTTTATCTTGATAGTTTTAAACGAGCTAGAAAATTTTAGAAAAAAAATAACTTTTATTTCACACGGTTATTGTTGCTCAAATTAAGCGAGTACGGAGTAATCCTTGTGTGTCATACACTCGTGTACGGCCATACTCGTATATTCATGTTTTTATTATGCATACATGGCGTACCTATAAGTTATAGTGCGTTTTAAACTATTCGACCGAAAAGACGTATTATAATCAAATTGGATTTTAATAATTATTTGGGGCATGTTCTCATCCATCGCGAGTTAAGCACCTATTAAAGTTTTGTTTTTGACTGCGGTAGATGGTATGTTTGATTTATTTTTTAATTTATTATAATTATTTATATTAGTCGGTCAATTATGATGTAGTCAGTCGGTATTTCCTTACCTAATCGTATTGCTTCGAAGTATAATGCTTAGTGCTTACATATTCTAATATTCTATAGTTAAAATGTGTTTACAAATTATAACATTTGCGGTACGTGTATAAACGAAAATTGAGTTTTGAATTTAGAGGACTGCAATTTTTTTCTTAACAAATCCGTGGATTCTATGTCTCATAAAACTTATTTGTTTAAATTTTATTCTAAAAAAAATAAAATATATTTTCATTGAGTATTTTATTAAACGATTAATATTAATGAAATACTTGTTTAAAGTATGAAATATAATAACAATAGTCAATAAGTACCTACTAATATTATGTTCCATTTGTGTCCATGTTGTTGGTTTGATACAGAATACCTATACCTCAATATTATTATTGTTGCTATAACATATTTAAATTTTTAGAATCGCTGATAATTTATATTCGTTAAACAACTAACATTATACTTTATAACACTTGAAATTTGTACGAATACAAATGGTAATTAATGATTATGATTGTGATATTAATGCATTAAAAACTTTAAAATTTCAAAAATTTAGTATGAATTAATGTCCTGTAGGTATGATAAGAATTGAAATTTAAAAATCTATCAAGTGTAATATTAATTAGTTTAGTGTGGAATGTGTACAAGACGTATAAAATATTAAAAAACGAATACTAAATAAATTAAAATGTGTTTAAACAAATTTGTTTGGCGAAATATAATTAAAAATATCGATTAGTGCGAAAAATTGAAAATTGAAAATTTTAAAGTCGTATAGGCACCGAATGTTTGCAGAGACATTTTGGAGCAAAAAAAAAAAAAAAATATAAACACCTCGATAAACCAAACATCTGTAAGTTGAATTTGCATTAAGTTCCTGCAAAGTACTATTGTTTTGCGACTTCGCGTACCTATAGGTACCTGCAGGAATATTACCTACACGAGGTGTATTATTTATTTTATGCCGCCAAAAACATTGCATTCAACAACGGTCTAGCTGTGGCACTTGTAGATTTATTTTTTTAGCAAGATGCATAGAAGTGTTTCGTTTCGAGTGGCCTAATTGTTTACGTACTCGTTAATTGGACACAGTTTTGTTTCAAGTAATTTGCTCATCCATGTTCAGCGTATAATTTGCGAGGGTTAAACTTTAAACTATCTAAATGTTCGTGTACTGCACACTTTGTACGTACGTGACCGTGACGTTGGATTAAAGATTTGTTTGTAAGCCACGACCAGGAGACTCTACAAATAACATTGTTCATTTATAGACGTTACTGTGATTATATATCATGTTTTAAACTCTGTATAGAATATAGATATTAACTACATTCGTACTATCTTTATTAATTGTCATTGAAATGATCACCAAATACTTAATTTATTTATTAGTATAAAGTATTGTTTATTTTGTGTAAGTTGATTGATGGTTCAAAACATCGAGTTCGATAAACATTCTAATAAATAATAATCTATCACTAGTTTATCACGCACTCAATTTAAAACAAAATTAATACGTTTATAATTATTATTTATTGCATTACCTACTCAATATTGCTTATAATTTATAATATTTATATCGTTATGTTCTTTAAAATATATTATAAAATTAATACTTACCTATAATAGCAGTAATAATAGTAATATACTTATATACACAAAATTTCATAATTTAGTTATTATTAATTACAATTAAGTATTATTTGAGTTTATTACTTATTCTTGTATATTTTAATTTTGTACTGCACCGAATTTTAGTTCCTGATATTCTTAGTAACTATGCATAAGCTTGCAATTCGCCAAGGGTTGAGGAAAACTTTAAAAAAATTGAGAAAATCTTCGGTTTTTGATCAAATGTATAGATTTTGGAGATTATTTTTATTTTGAATTTTATTTTTTTGTAAGTGTTATTAATACAAAATTTAAAAATGTATTTTATTCTTATATTTTAATAACTCTACAAGTTAATACTACTCACAATTCTATTTTTATTACCAAAACCTCGGTTACAAGGCTATGTAGAAAACCGCTGTGTATTTGGGTTATATAATTACAAAATGTTTTATAAACCTTTTTTATTATTGTTAAAACATGTTAATATTATTTTAAGATTAAGTTGGGTATTACCTAAGACTTGCCTTATTAAAATTCAAGGTAATATTAAATTTTCGAAATCTCTTATATTATAATTTACGACTAGGTATGTAGAATGTGGACGTTGCGACGTATAGATAATTATTCATCATTGCCTACCTCTAATTATTTTTGCTTTTAAATGATATATTATTTGTTTTTCGTTTTTTTCCCTTTATGTATTAACGGTTTCTTGATACTCTTCTTTCTAGGTCCCGACAAATTTTTATATGGACCTAAGCGACGCCTGACCATAGTACCTCTCCACCACGCTTGAATTTTCGTAGCCATTTTTTCCATGTGATCGATACGTTTTTTCTCTTCTTCTGCTCTTTGCTTATTTTCAGTATGTTCCTCGATAATAGTTTGTCTTTCGATAAACTAAAATTTTACATTATAATCGTATAGAAATAGGTATGAGACATTAAAAATAAATGATTAAAGTCTAATTTTACGCTAATGCCGCTATGGTCTACGCCCTACGGTATACCGCATTTATTACTTATATATCTATACTGAATACGTATTAACACAAGAAAAAAAAATTAATAAAAATATTCTTACTATTTTTTTTAAACTTTCTATTTCTTTGGTTTTTTCCTCCAGTGTTATAATAAGGTTTTCTAGTTTTTCGTCAATTTTGTTAGTGTCAGTTTTATATTTACATTCCCAATACTCGATTTGTTTTTCTAATTCCTATGAAAACAAAACAATCGTTGATGGATTTAAATTTTTTCTGAAATACATATTATAGAGTACTTTTAAGTACCTAAATTATACATGTATGACGTAGGTTGACTCACTTTTATACTATAATCTAAATATTGTTCGTTCTCTATATCAATGAGTTGATCTGTTTTCATTTTGGCCTGTAACTCTACAATATACTTTTGTAATTTTAGTTCTTCGGACCTAAATTTAAATTTGAAATTTTCTACTCTAGCTTTTTCCCATTTTTCTACATAGTTTTTTTCCATTTCTCTTCGTATCGCTGTATGTTCTCCACTAGCCTATTATAGATACATATGGAATATGGATATAATTTGAATAAGATAACAATTTTATAACTACGTAATCCTAGTTAGCTTATTTTTGCCTTTTCAGGCTTTCAAGACCCGAAGTATAAGACTTGGTTACCAGTGCACTTAGTTATGAATATTGTACTTGTATTTATTATTATTAATTTTTTGAAAAAATAAAATTATGATGAAAGTTTAAAGTTATAAAACTGTAAAAATTGAAAAATGTGAATGAAATTCATAATTAATTAAAGAAAAACACAGATATTAACATAAAAAAATTGATTGTTTTCGATATTGAACAAATCATTAAAATTTAAAATGTATAGATTAAAAACTACATTTTTCTTTTCATTTTGCATTAAAAAATAAAAAAAATAATTACCTAACCTTGGTGATATATTTCTACAATCATACACTAAGAACTCACATTTCATGAATAGGTGAACGGCTACTTTATTTCACGATATGTTAGAAATCGGATGCTAGTACTTATAAATAAATCGTTTTACAATCAGTAATTACTTTGTCGTCAAACATAATAAGAAACAATACAATAACGTTTATGGTCACTTGAAAGTTAGAAGTGTTAATTGTTAAATTACAACAAGATACAGATTAGGTACTGATTTTTGATGAATTGAACATTGGATAGAATTATTTAATAATCTAAGTTACAAATGTTTCATTTGAATCACTAAATTTATTAAAATACCTATTATAATAATATTTATTATTTTAAAATAGTTTATATTTGAACAGGAAAAAGAAGAAATTGACATTTTGATTTTTTTCTTTAGTTATTTTTGACTTTTTATACAACATAGTTCATCTAATAAGATAATTTAAGTTTAAATATCAGTATTAAAATTAAAACGATTGTTATTAAAATTATTTTGTATACATTAATACAGAAACATGCTAAGATTGATAAGTTGAGTCCCGAAAAAAAAGATAGTAGATAAATTATGTTCTAGGAAAAAACAAATTACATATCTAATTTTTTAATATTTTATTATCTTTATTATAAGTCTAATCAGTAAAAACTAATTTTTACTATTATTATAGTTATATCTAAATGAAATTCATGTGATTAGTTTTCTACATTTGATAATATGATTTAGGTATAAATATAATTTAATAATAGTAGTATACCTATATAATAATGTTGGAACCTATTTACCTACTACTTTTTTTCCACGGGACTCAATTTGTTACTTTCAAAATGTACCTACACAAATTACCGTGGATGCAATTAACTATAGCCCCATACATGCGTGATGTTTTGTCTCCGTCTAACACTTAACATATCAGCAACATTTTTGTTTAAAGTTATTCATTTGTCGAAATTCCTTTCATGGTAGGATTTATAATTAATATTTTTTTTTCTTTCTCTTTGCCATCACATTAATTGATTCTTCTTTAAAATTTTAAATAATAATAAAAAGAATATTAATCTATTTTATCCTGTAATTTTCAGTATTAGAGTAGATTAACCTAATATAATAATATTATTGATGTAAAGGTAAGAATATTATTCAGAGTCTAACTTAGGCTTAATATTTAGATTTTTGAATTAAATTTTGAGTATTTAATATTTTATAAGAATATACTATTTAAAGTTCTCATATTACCTCGATTAAAATTTAAAACATACATATTTATAAAAATCACTATGTACGTACATAATATTTTTTCCTTTAAATATGCTAATAGTAAAATTCAAGTTATTGTTGAAAAAAGGTGGGAAAGTAGGTACCATTCTGCTGTACAATAGGTGTCGAGTGAGTCACTGTAATGGATGTGGTAAATTTGACTTCAATGATATAATTCTAATGTGATTTCTAAAATCAAATGATTCTAAGTGGAGACGGTCTATCAGTAATATAAATTAGTAATTATATCAAGTTTATTTCATTTTATGTTATTTATTGTTAGTATTAGATAAAGTAATTTATTTTACTCATAGTAATACAGTACAGATCAAACAATTTGCAATTTTTTGTGATTTTAACGAATTGTATTAAATATTGAACTTAAAATGCTAATTGAAAATAAATTATGTCTATGTAGAAACACATAACATTAAATGTTAACATAATAAAATGAATAAATTTATCGTTCCATTTAGATATAGAACTACAGAATTAATTGGATTAATCAAATGTTCTAATTATTTATTTTAATGATTTTATTGTTGTGTAAATGTATATTGTATAGTATAATGTAAAATTTTAAATTATAGATTTCTATAATTTTATCTTGTATGTAAAAAAATGTATGATAAATTTATATTTGATATCGCAATGAAACGATATGATATTTATATATTATTTGAAAAGGTATAATAAATACTAAAAAAAATCATTATGCATTACTAGTAAATAATAACATTTATTATAGAATAGATTATTCTACAATCAATGATAATAGATAGTATGTTAGCTTATAATTGTTTATTTGTGTGGAAGTAAATAATTCATATAAAAACGGTTTTTGACTTAAGTAATGAGTCCTATAGATATTCAAATTAAATATTAAATTACGTATATTTTAATGCAGGTATTAATTTTACAATTTTGGTTCGGTTCAACAAACTTACCGTACACTTCTCGATAACCGCTTCAATTTCTTCTTTTTTTTGTTTAAACTTTTGTATTTTTTTTTCCAACGATACGTATTCTTCTATAAAATGTTCGTCATTATTTGGTTCTTGTTTGTCTTTTTGTAAATGAAATTGTAGTTTTTTCTTTTGTTCGTTTTCATCGACTATAGCGTACAAGGTTTTTAACGTTCCGAAATTATGCAAGTCATAAATTGATATTTGGAAAATGTCTTTAATATATTCGCTGATGCTACTACTGCCGTAAAGTGAATCTAGTATAGATATCTCGAGTAAAGTTTTTTCAAAAACTTCCGATAGCAGCTCGTTTTCTTGGATAGTCGAAGCAGAGTTTAATTTTCCTGGATTTTCATTTAGCTCCATTTTGTTTTGCTTATATCAAACACAATTAGGTACTATTTATTGATTTCATTCAATTATACTTGGCATTTATGTATATTTTAATTAAATATTGAAAAAACACAATAACATATGATACGTATAATATTATCAATAAAAGTAATGTTTTATCGTTAGAGTATATAATATGTATATAATACAGTATCATTAAACTATAAAAATTAAAAAACAAACACGTATTTTCCGTCTTAGCAACAAACGTGGTTTTATTGTTAAAATATATAATACCTAACATGTAATATAGGAGCTGCCAGTAGGTATGAGGTATAATCAATATCTTGTTGTTCGTAATTCGTTGTACTGAGCATATAGTTTGTGGTATAGTGATACTGTTATTATATGATAATTTGTAGGTATACCTAGTAAAAATATATATATATATATATATATATATATATTATCAATATATATACTACTGGATATGACCATAAATTAAATATACAGATAAAAATAAAACAAAATATTAAATTGTATATTTAATCTATGATATGGTTAACCGCTTATTCATTTTTCATTTATCACTTTAACAGCGACGCCATAGCATAATATTAAACATAATTTGTGTTATTTTGACGATGTCTTTGAAAACGAGAGCACCGAAGATCGGACCGATCCAAAAAACGACGAAATGGTCTCTATTTATTTGTCCGGGACAACCGTACGCCAAGGACGTCGCGTAAGTTGGATTCATCAGCACGCCGGTGTATCGAAATGCTATTTTAATCATTAAACGTCAATGTATTATGATATATACGTTAATAAACTTCATAATAATATGTAATATTTGCATATGATAGCTTGCACCTTATCTGACTTTAATAATTATTTATCTGCATTTTAAGTATGAATGTATAATTATATAGGTATCTGGTGTGTTGGTGTGAACAAACTTTTAGGTAAATGGGTGAAGATTGAAGTTCAAAAAAATAACCATGATACATATTTTATTGAAATATTATATAATAAAATCTTAGCAAAGTAGATTAACGAAGATTTATGTGACATAGTTAGAAACTTAAATGTAAAATATGGGTGTAGGATATAGGTACTAGTTCAGTGGCGTGCCGAAGGGATAATCAAGAATTTTTTTAGAGTTCAATGAGTGAGTGGATGATACTCTACAGTGTATGATAATGTAATATATTTATACCATTTATTACCATAGGTAATTAAAAATATGACGACATTTATTAAGTTTTATTAGATTTTTGGTGGATGGGTTGTAGTGTAATATTAGACTGTATCTATCTCCTGGCAAATTTAAAGTTCGCTATGCTACTGAGTGCTATATTAATTTGTATAAAATAAAATATTTTTATTGTTAACCAAGAAAGAATAAACATATTTTATCAAATTTATTATAGTAATATAGTGTAAATTTTATAATTTATTAATATGTTACTATAATTTTTATAGATAAAAGAATTGTAGGAGACAAGTTTTTTAGATTAAGGAGAATATTATACTAATACCTTGTTTGAATAATAGATTTTTGTGTAGATATTAATAAATGCATTTGTTTTCGTAGAAATCAGTTTTTAAAATTGTACTAAATAAAATATTAACGAAAACGCAGTATCTTTATAATAGATTATAGTAATATAGGTAGTCCAAAGGTGAACACATTTAGTAGATATTATGCCATTTAAAGAAGTTAGAAAGTAAATTATAACATTAGATAAAATAGGTGTGATAGGCCTAATAGGTACGATAATGAATGTTAATTGTTGAGTGTCTTATATTACTGTTTTCAGCGATTTACAACGAATGTTAAATATTATATTAACTAATAATCGAAATCGATTTCGTCAAAACGTGGATGGTGGGTATGTTTTACCTTTTTACTCATATTAATATAACACCTCGTTTTTAGTTGATGGATTAGGTTGAATTCTTATTATTTTTAACGATTTCCCGTTTCAGTTTTTATCTGTAGTACATTACGCATGAAGATAACAACACTAACAATATAATAATAAGCCCTGGAGTGCATTTACCGGTCATATTTATGTACATCAGTATGGACGAAATAAATAGATTTTTGGACATCCGTAAGTACTTGCATACCTTCTGCAAACCCAATTGCATGGCTAAGTATGCGAAAGTGATGATGGCTTCTCCGATTGCCGCGTTCAATGGGTCCGTAAGCTTATGATGGAATACACGACAAAAACAAGACGTAGTGTTATTTTCGTTGGACTATACACATGTATAATAATATTATATACGGAATTTGTGCGAATTATTCACTTTCAAATTCCTGGAGCACCTGATCTTGAAGAACGTTTCCTTCGTGTTCAGTACGTTTACGGACCACAGCGCCAAAGTGCACCTAAAATGTGATACCAGAACAGTTTCATCATGTACAATTTTTTTTTACGATTTTATATTATAATATGGCTGAGTACCAGGTGCGTTTTTCAAATCTCCTAGGGGTTGATATATAGAGAAGCTATACTGTAGCGAGTATCATATTAGACGATAAATATATTAAAGATATTATGGCTTGATATCACTTATATCACTGACCTGGAGCCTGGAGGTGTATAATGAATCTAATGTATATATTATATATATAACATGTATGAACTAGAAACATACTTAACGTATGTGTAGTGTTATAAACGTGTAGTTCGTATCGTATAATAAATTATAATTTGTTATGAATGAGCATAGGTAAATAAGTTGTATTAAAAAAATTATACTATTAATAATTTTTTAAGCTCCTTAAAAAATATTTAGCAATAATACGACAACAAAATAATATTTGAAAATACATCTTTCTTCTGCAGACCAGCTAAATGCCAGATAAATAAAAACAATCATAGCTATGAGGTGTTATGTAGTTAAAAACTTAAATAGTTCTACTATGGAGATAGTTATAACACTAATAACTAATTAGTCAGATTAATAACACGTTACCTGTTGCTAATGTAACTTGATGCGATTAATGCCACTAAACTTCTTAAGACGTTTACACTTTGATACAGGTCTTGTATAATAATATGTTGCAACGTTTTCTTGCAATTGTTGGTAATAATATAACCATTCGGAGGACTCGTCGTATTTTCTCGTCTGTACAGTATCAGTTATTGAATGAATTGATATTTTTTTCGAATAACATTTATACATATCAATAATTAATAAACATATATTTATTTATACAATGTACCTACGATGAAGTTTGAGTTGAATAATATAGTTGCGCAATTTAGTTACGACAGACAATGCCAATGGACTGGTGTGATAGACTACGAATACTAAATTTGTACGAAACACGTAATATGAACACGAATTTGTCGTTAATTTTACCAGATAATTACAAATCAGTTTTAACAATATCACCACGACCATCTTTCCCGATAATTTATACAACTTCAGCACTGGAAAATATTGATTTTTTAGTAAGACTATTTTAAGAAGTTATAGTAATCTATGTATAAGTGTAATTTAGAATATTAAAGTTTATTAAAGCAATTTTATAATATTAAAAAAAAAAAAACTGTTTAAAATATACCATTTGACGAGGGCTTTTTCTTTAAAATTGATAAAATATTAATAATATTATACTATATAGTCGTAAACGTAGTAGTAATAAGAATAAGATACTTATTAGTGAAATCCAAAATCGAACCTAACTTAACTCAAACACACATACTTGCATAATTATTTGGGCACAGAGTCAGCTGAAAGTTGAAATTAGTAATTTTAGTCATAAATTGTTTAGCATTATATGGGACTTTAAAATAATACAATATTATAATAGCCATATATTAAAAGGTTCGAAAACATCAATGACCGGGTATGGACTATTGAAATAAGAAATACAAATGTTTTTTAATTAAAATTGAAATAACGAGAATAATACTAACTATTATCATTTAATTAAATTCACATTGGATAAAAAATATTTTTTTTACAAAGGATGATTGTTTCACCTGTTTTCAGTATTCAAATGAATACCCATGTTTTTAAAGAAAATACTTAATCGATACGTTCGGTGAATTAACTATATTATTATGAACAAGTGCATTAATTCTAAAACCACACTTATTTTTGATTTATAGGTGGTTTTTTAATGATATATTGTAATTGATGTACGTATCGACGTATCGGAGGTTAATTTGATAAGATAGGTGTAGTAATTCCCAATTACATTGGGAAGTGGACGGGGTATAGTATTTAAGCGTACTAAAATTATTATGCCTACTACTTAATTATTCAGAAAGTATTGAGACCCAAGACCGTCAAGTTATATGAAGGTTTTTTAAAAACACTTAAGAAACATAATTTTTGAGATCGTTTCTATTTTGTGCGGAATTAGTACAGTGTATACAAATGTGATAAAAATAGAAGACTGTAAGGATATACCACGAAATATGGTAATTATACTTAAACATTTAAATTATATTTAAACAGTTTTAATTTAAATTTAACGATAATGAGTTTACAGTATACTATTTCTTCTTTTTTTGTGGTATTCATCCATATATTTTTAGATTATCAAATGTCTTTTCATCTATAAAAAATGTATATATTAAGGTTATTTTGTAGCGTGTTTCTGTGCCCGCTGCCCATATAATGTTAGTTTGAAAAGTACTGGAATTTAATTTGTAATAACTACAAAAATTATGTTGCATATTATTAAAAATTATCTCCTTCAAAATACTCTCCTTGAGCGACGAAATGCAATGTTCTCAGAAATCTATTTTTCAATTATTTCCAAAGTTAAAGCTCTAAGTTTTGATGTAGTTTTTTAATATTTATTTTTAATTCCTCTAATTGTTGTCTTTGAAGCGTAGATTTAAGTTTCAGAAAAAAAAAATCATATGAGGTTAAATCAGGAGAAATAGAGGGGTGCGGGATTGCAAAAATTTGTTTGTCAGACCGATAGCACTATGTGTGATAGCATATTATGCTGCAGAAACTAGTTATTTGTTTGTTGTTTTACTAGACTTTTGGGCGAATTTTCTCGCGTATAAGTCTTTGTAGAATATTTAGTTGAATAGTTGATTGATTGGTATCTGTTTTTCATTTAAGAATATATCATAGTATTTAAATTAGTTATACTGATGTTTGTCCCAGTACTTTTTTTAACAGTTTTATGTACAAGCTGCCGAAAAGATATTTCATGTTTCTACGTTAGATATTAAACGTACTTACTTTAAGTAAAATTAAATGCATATTTTACTCGCCACGGATAAAGATATACATGTCTTAACCATAATTAATTAATTATAAGTTATGAGTGTTATGACTGTTCATTGTTATTTTACAAGTTTGTTATTATTATCTTTTTTTCATACTTATCCCGATGTTTATTGTGTAACAATACTGTTCGGTGATTTCAACGATTTCCATGGACAATGATGTCAGATAATATTTTGCATCGTCTGAATGGCTTACGAATGTCAACCTTTCTTGATACGTCTTTAACGATAGTTTAATAACGAGCGATACGATAAAAACAGTCGACATATAAATAATACAGCTAATTATTACATTAGCTACCAATGCAGTGTCGCCACTCAGATTAGATTCCACTGAAAATGATTAAAATACTTGAGTTGTGAAATCTGAATAGTACTCCGATTATAATAAATGTATTATCAAATGGGTACACGAGAAAATACATATACATTATAGTAATATATATATAATTAAATGGTAAACGTACTTTCAACGAACACAAAGTAGTAATAATTTCATAGAAATATATAAAAGGATTTAACTATAATTGAAGATAAAAAATGTTATTAAAAATTTCCAAACAAACGGAATACCAATAATTAATCAATGATAATCATCCGGTAAAAATTATTCGACTGCATTTTACGGGAAGACTGCAGCAGTACCACGACGTTATGCATTACAATCACTTAGGTTTAAAGTGAAATGTTAGTAAAATATTACAATTTTGTAAACGCAATGCACGTGAGTGAATTTAATTATCTATTCGCGATACAATTGACAAGCAGCTGATTCAACTCTCAAGTTACCTACCTTACCAGCACATTATACGTCATATTATCTTCAGTTTGTACGAGTAGTAGGAGATTTTGTGTAACTGGTTTTTTTTTCGTTCTTTGCTTGTATTAGAAACTCTTATACTATAGTCTATAATAATACTTTAATAACAAGCGGACCACAGTCACTATCGTTGATCGACAAACACGCAAATTGAACGCATATTTATACGTTATCGATCTGGCAATGACGACTAAATAATACCGGCATCACATTATTGTAGGTACGTGATTTTAACTTTTATTAAGTAATAGTAATTCGAAAATATTTCGCTCTAAATAGATTTGGACGTTAAAATTTTAAAAATCAAAAGATCTATACGTTCATAGATTAGTTATCGTTATGTCGTTACATGTAAGGCTTGATTGTGATTAAGATCATTGAGTGACTTATACAGTTTTACACTTAAGAAATGTTGAGCATATGTCGTGATACTTCTTTATGATAATGTATATTATTGATCATAAATACTAGAACTAAAAATTAAAAAGTATTTATATTCAATGGTAGGTATATTGGTGTTATGCATATAAATAATTCAATACCTATTTCAAAATATTATAAAATTAGGTAATTATATAAACACAATAATTAACATTATTATTTATCATACATATTTTATACTTACACTTGTAGTATTACTAATTCTAAATTTAACTTAGAACTCACCTTATGCGATGATTGTGTAATTCTTATGGTAGACACAGAGAACTGCTCTTATAGAGTACCGTTTTGAGCAGGTCTACTCAAAAACGACACCAGTCTCCACGCGCACTTATTATGCACCTTTTGATACAAAAAATGGTCTCCTGCATCCGGATAGATCGTCCAAATACTAGAGCTGCTTTTACTATCACTACTATTCAATACTACTACTACTACTACTACTACTACTACTACTACTACTACTACTACTACTACTACTACTACTAATACTTATACTACTACTATACTAACTAGATCAAAATAAAAATAACAATAACAATAATCATTAATACATCTTTTACTACAATTACTGAATTAGAATATTTTTTTAAATATTTTCTTAATAAAAGTTCTGATAGAGTTAAAATATTTACCTTAACTTTAAGAATACCCAAAATATTAAAGCAAATACTTTTTAAGGGCTGTAGGAGGTAGGGGCCAAATACCTGTGTTCTCAACCTATAATTTAAGTTTTGATGCGGGTACAATTGTAGGAGTGCTTGTCATATTTGATAAAAACGTTTAAATAGTACTTACTTTTAAAACCTGTTCAGTCTAATAAATGTTGATTGGAGCGAGTAAAAATAATTGTTTGTTTTTATCACAATTTGTTATTGACAACCGTGAGACATCATGGATTATAAACATAATTTAAATATATTTTCACCAATTGTTTAATTGCAATTTAGATGCAGAATTTAGTATTTACCATCTTGTTTTATAAGGGTCATGACCATGGTTAATTGATGATAATTAATAACTGGCAGTTTAATTTTTGCCTAAATGACATGAGTAATGAAATGCACTACTTGATGAAAAACTACACACCAAGTAAATTTGTATTAATTATTAATGTTGCTAAAAATAAATTTGTTACCGCAAATGTAGATGTGAAAAATATTGAGGACACATAATTTTTTTTATTTTTACTCAAATACTAACGGCAGACATAGTAAATAACTGGCTTATAATTTGCATGTACTAATTTGCTGAATGGTAAAAAACAATTATTCAGCTGCTATGACTATAATATGATACATGGTTATTATTTTGGCTCAAATAAAAAACTTATCGTAATAATAATAGTATTATATTCACAAATAAATTAATGATAATACGATATCAGTAACATAATTTACCTCAGTTCTAGATACCTACTATTTAATGTTATTTTTGTATTTTTTGTTCAAATTGTCAGTATTATGGCTAAATTATTGTTCAAGACCAGTTTTGTAGGTACCTACTTAGTAGAAAACAATAAATTATGAAGGTTGCACCCGCCTTTAATAATATATTTAAATATATATATATTTTTGAAGATAAGTGATAATTTTCTTATAATATTTTTAATTACCTAAAAAAAGCTTTAAAATTATAAAAAAGTTTTAATCTAACCTATCATTCTTAAACTTTTCGTCAGTTATTATTTTACAGATATTTTAAATGCTCAAAAATTGTATTTACCATTTGTGAGAACTGTGTTTACCTACCTATAAACAATGTATATTATGATATAAATGTAGTATAATACAATCTATAATATGATAACCCAGTGTGGATCTAGATGAAGTCTGAAAAATGGTTAAATTTTATTTAGTAATAAAAAAAGAAAAAAATATTACATATTATTAATATGATAGGCATGTACGAGTATTTATTTATATGAACAGGTTTAAGAATAGAGAACTATTGTCATTTACCCAAAGCTAACTAGATATTTACAATAACATTTAACAGTAAAAATAACAATAATAAACATTGAATTAATTTCCATGATCATTTCAAGTTATTATTTGTAATCCTTTTAAGTCACTACCTACGAACTTCTTGTACCTAATCTTTGTAAATACGCTTGAGATTACTTTTATATCGTATTGTTTTACGTGCGACATTTTACCTACTGATAATAATAATTTATTATTCAAATATGTGATGGATTTATTCAAGCCAGTTTGTAACTAGGTACATGAATCTTTTAATACACCTATAAGCGGCTTTCAACTAAATTAATAACACACGTGAATTTAAAAGTTTAATACATTTTTTTAATTTGATTAACATATCTGGTTTATCGGTGTATTAATTACAGATAAACCGTGTAATAATAATTTAAATATTCACTATTGCAGAAATAATTATTGTTAAAAAAATAGGTTTTATTGTGTTAAAATGACTCCAAACTATATACGAGTAAACAATTTTTTTAAAAAATCATAAAGCTAACTTTGAAAATTAATGCATCACTAAATAAATGGTACGTCCTACTTTTTATTGCTCAATATTTATGTATATTGAACTAATTTATTCATAAATTCATAATATTTAAAAAATAATAGGTACATATTTTATTTTGCTTAACACGGTGGTTATAATATTTTTATTAATCAAAAATATTTTGAAATAAAATTATTCTCTATAAGTTAAGTCAAAATAAACTTTTCAAGTTTGCCCTTGATTTGACTGACTTGATGAGAAAACAACCACTGAAGACTGTTAATAGCTTTAATTACTACTCATTGAGCATCTACGCATAAGCCTAGTATAGATGTACATTAGCATGCAAATTTTATTGAACAAAACACAAACCAAGATATCAAACTATTGACCCTCGTAACGTCGCGTTCAGTATCCGCCTAGTGTCGAATATAAAGTGAAGTATCCGAACATAAAGTTAGGATATTTTTTACTCCTACTTTAAGCGTGAGTAAACATTTTAAGTTTTTTGGCATATAATTATTTTTACTGCATTTACTAAAATTATATATTTATTTTTTTAAATTTGAAACAATTTATTTTTTAGTTATTTATAAAAAAATATAGATTACATCTACATGATAGTATAAAGTACAATATATTAAATATATTATTTCCTATACTACAAAATTTTACAATACATGCACATTTAAACAACATTATAAAGATAAAGTACCATTCTATATTAACCTGACATAGAATTTTACGTTGTATTAGTTTCTATTATATAAAATAATAATTATTGCTCCCGTACTTTAATTCTTTATAAATAACCTCTTATTTATTACATTTATTATTTAACATATATACTTACAAAGAGACATATTTATGTGTCTACAGTTTTTACAATTTATTATTATAATTATTTGTTTTAAAATTCTTTAACTCTTTTGAATGATACATACAATTTTTAATTACCTACATATTACAGAACAATTTTTTTTTTTTTGATTTAGGTATTTCAATGCCTACATAAAAATTAAATTTTGAATGAATAGTAATAATACACTTTAAATATAGGTATTTAAGTTTAAATGAAAGAGGAGTATGTACTGGATAAACATTTTGTTAGGTACTCTATTGTACCATTTTAGCTATTTTGCTCATCTAAATTAAATACTTTTAAATTAAAAAAATCAGTTATTCAAAAATCAATTTTTAGGTATCAAAATATTTCAAAAAATATTCTTTTAAAATATCAAATAATAAAAATTCTCCTCGTATAATTTAAAACTACCTAATTTATAATTTTTAGAGAAATTATATTATTTAACATCAGATTGATATCACTCTATTATTGTATTAAAAAAAAAAAAAAAAAATACTTATTGCTTTTTATGTTGAATTTTGATAAATTTAATTTAAGATTAACTACACGCTTTTGTTTTGTATTAGGTACTGAGGGAATAATTCAATTTATACAGATCATAAGATTATTATCATTAATCAACTAATTTTTAATTTGTTTACATGAATTATTGGAGAATGAGGATCTAAAACCATGATAACGTATAAAATATTTTATTGAATGTATTTAATTATAAATGCTTTTAAACTATTTAGGTATATTCTGTCATTAATTAAAAAAATATAGTACAATTTAAACAAATAATGTATTTTTATTTTATTTTCATAATCGAATTAAATGACTAAAAAAAAATTGACGTCTATTTAACTTAAAAATTTGTTATAGTTAAACAATTTTTAAGTTAAATAGACGTTATTTATTATAAATTATTTTAACGTAAATGAAAAACAAATTGTAGATTAAAATATAAAAATATAATAATATTGTGTATTAATAGGATAGTAGATACCCACTTTTAGTATGTGAAACATTGAATTTCGTACCATTTTGAGTGTGTTTATATACTATATTATATTGTGTTTGGATCATTTAAACTGTGTGATTAGTTTTAACGTATATTTACTTGGTTCAATGTAATAAATAACACGTGAACAGAATTAGAAGTTTTAAATAAATATGTAAAAGATAATGGAATTCATTCAATATTTGATTCAATGGCAAAATTATAAAATAACTTAAATTATTGTTGTTGTAAAATAATTTCATTAATTTGTATGAAAACTCGTTTATGTGCATGCATAATCAGTTATTGTTCATTAAAACTATTGATTACAGTTAGCAGATACTGCAGTTTATTTTTTGTATCTAATATATATAAATATATATGGATAACATTGAATTGAGTTCTAAATATTGAATTGAATCTCGGCAAATACTTTTGGGTTATCGGAGTTGAGTCCGACCAATATTGTTAGATTATTCAAGTAGTCACTTTCTTTAATTGTAATAATAAGTATAAAGAGTTAATTAATTAAGAAATATTAAAAATAATAATAAATAAAGGTACTTTTTTTTCCTAGAGAGTAATTTTTTATCGAAAGTTATAGAAAAATACTAAAAAACAATTGAAAATGTGTTATACCCATAAATATTTTAAAAAGAGTTAAAATTTGTTGAAAATTTTATCATAATATAGTTATTGAAAATAATAATTTGGAAATTTCAAGTACATACTTATCTTATTATTTTTGGAAATATTATAAAATATTAAAAAATTTTGAGGAGAAATAATTATTTTATGGGTGAATATCTAATACACTCCATTTTCACTCGTAATAATTTGATAATTAAGTAAGTATTAACTAATTGTGTGTCACCGGTTATATAGGTAGTTATGACATCTTATCTATACGGACTTAATTCAAAGATATTAAGATAATAAGCTGGACTCCATTCAAACACATAAAAGTAGCATGGAATCAATTTAATATCACCGATTTATATATGTATACAATATGCTTACAAATATCAAGTGAATTATTTAATTTATTATTCAAAACCATAAACCATCATATTATTCTAATATTTTTAATTTATATTATTAATATTTGTAATTTAATGTTTAATTAATAAAGTGAGTTCAGTGATACATAGTATTTTAAGTTAAATTTAAAAATTATTTTTAACACATAAGTAAAAGAGTTCTATAGCTATATTTATAAATATTGCCTAATACTTTCTAAAAAGAAGTTAATCAGGGGATTGAAGTTTTGAAGCTCTACGTCTTTGCAAATTCTTACAGAGCTCCAATAGTACGAAAGTAATAAATTACTGCATAAATACACATTTCTTCACGTATAGGTTGAAAGTATAAGTGAGTGTTTTTATTTTAACATAATATTTTGTGTAGCTTATATTTTATCAGTCTTAGACTTTTGGCTTATTTATTATTATTGATATAATTGATGTGTCAACAAGTGTATATATAATTTATTAATTGTGATTTCCTCACCGCTAACAAATAATGATCAAAAGAAATTAAAATGCATGAGAGAAAGACGTAGAAATATAAATAAACTGACGAGTGAGAAAATACATCGCATATACGAGTATAATTATTGTAATGCGTATTGTGTTCACTGTTCAGTAATTATTCTGCTATCCATCATTTATAGA